CAGCGTATTACAACCAAATTAATTTAATAAAAAAATGTATTCTATGAGTGTAGGTATATAAATTTATATTACCATTAGGGCGAAAATCTGTAAAGTTCTTGATCCGCATTTTCTTTTCTCAATGTATCCTTTTTGAACGTTCGATTTGATGACTCACTACAAACTGTTCATAACAAATATTATATTCATCACTTTACACTTCAACACTTCGAAGAACACCACCTCACATTTTGCGTGATGAAGATTTCAAGTCAGAAAGGATACAAGTTACTAAGAAATCTTTAACAACCACTTTTCACATTGTTTTTGCACGTGACAAACACAAGTAAAGACACTGCAATGTGAAATAAAAACAGGATTAAATTGAAGCCGATTGGCAAACTTTACAAGTATTGCTTGATTTGACAGCTGCGAGCGCGCTATCCCGAATTCTCGATCCAAATATCGGGATTTGGTGGCCGCTTCGGTTGAATAAGCACGGCGCGGCTGAGAGAGACGCCCGATCCCGATACAAACTATAAAGAAGTGAAATTAGCTGCACGTGGAGGGGAACACCAGGAACGTGACGTAAATAGAACGGGATTAGTTTGACTTAGGTATACTACGACCGAGACGCGCTGAGCTTTTGAACTTTTGATCTTTATATTTTGTGAAAATTAACTTAAACAAAACATCTGTCTGGGAAGTTACAAGTAATTTTCATATTTTATTCAAGAATTACTAAATTTCAACAAACAAAAAAGAGCAACATCACAAAAGCCTAGTAATTATAGAATATCTTGCAATGTATCAAATCAAGCAATACAGCAAAAACTTTTTAACAATTAATATGGTTATTAATAATAAGATAAAAACTGACGTTGTTAATCGGATCAGGACTGCACCACCGCCGTAATAAACGTCAAACGCGCAGGCGCAGCGCGTGTTACTGACGTACGCATGCGTACCAACTTCATTCTATTTGACGTCATTCGTCGACACGCCGGTCGCTTCGGTTCGTGGTTGCGCAAAATAAATGTTGTATTTCGGAGGGTGCATAATATTATTTAAACTTTTTTGTATTATATGAAAAATATTCACTATACATACCCTTAAATAATAAGTAATAAATAATGTTTCACTAAAATATATTAAGCATATTTGTTTAAAATTATCCCGGTATCAGTACCTTAGTCCCCTTCAATAAGATTAAACAACCCTTAGAAATAATTTACTTACATACATATCATTAAAGTGATACGTTCATAAGTACTTCAATGTAGTTCAATGTTACTTTATAGGTTTTTTTATACTTTTTACTTTTCACAGTGTACCTATGTGGTTTAACATTTGGTTGTAAATACAATAAGTAACGGTAGTAGATATATTTACCGACTCAGGCTTTAACGCGGAGGCTATGTGAATGACCTTTTGTCTAAAATGGAACCGTGTGATTATGATCACCCCTACGGAGCTTTAATTACATTTATTTATTACCATTGTTAAATTAATTAAATTCATAACTTGAAACTTACTATCCATGCATTAGTAAGGACTTCTTAAACAAAAATACATTGATATTTATGTTACAATCTAACTGATAGTAAGTGGCTACTGCTGCTCTCGGAAAATTGCAAGCCAGCAGCTAACGTTAAACAAAGAAAGGGCGCCTCACAGTCTATAATGTATCTCTATATATCCTTCAGACTGGAAATATTTAAGATGGTAGTACCTACCCACAAGGGTTTCATAGCAGAAAAGAAATGCAACCGCACATCATTACATTAGTCTCTTGCGAATTAACTATTTTTGGGATCTGGTGGCAACTTTATACAACGTCATTAACAAAGACAAATAATTATCACCTAAATCACTAACTGCAAAAAAAAGTTGAAATTAAATGGCAATTATATAAGAGCTGTGATGATATTGCCGCTCTGTTAAGAAAAGTGAGATAATTTATGAAATGCACGCATCTTCCTGACAACAACTGAATAAAAATAAAATAGAGGGAGGCCTATTTTATTTTTATTCAGTAATACCAGAAGTAGATTTTTGATATACTGTAATGGTAACACACATACCTTTAAACCTTATTTGTTTTAATATATACTCTATTAATATATTAATTTAATATATTAATGTGTTTTAATCATATTTCTATATAAAATTACAAAGTAAAGATCGTGCAAACAGTAATTTAAGTGCTAAATGTGGCAATAGCAATGCGAAGTGTAAATAGTGGAGTCTCCTAACACAAGTTATTCTACATAAAAGGAGTCCCAGTTCCCGGTTATATTATATGTATAATTATTTGCTCAAATAGCAGAAGCGTTGTCAGCCTTTTAAGAATGAATGGACTCTTTTCTTGATGATCCCAACGTAAAATATAAAAACCCCTTTGAAGTAAAATATGTACTATATACTATATCAATATACAAGTATTAAAAAAAACAAATTGTCCTTGTTTATAGAACATGGTTAAAAATGGGAAAGTATTTAAATGGATTTCAAAATATATGAATATTTTATTCATTTCTTTGTTTTTGCTTTGATAGAACTCCCGAGCGGCACTAAAATTATTTATCTAAACTTAGAGTAGAATGCAAAATTCTTAAGGAAACGAAACTTTTATCTCTCAGAAAATTAAAATGTTTAAAGCGCCATTTTGCACTAAAATAGGTATGAAAAGTAGGAGGCATGGTTATCTCTAAGGTATCAAAGATACATTGCTCACGAACTGAAGGAATCCAAACATACCTATCAATTCAGATCGAATATTTAGAAAAAAAAGAGTCGTCAAGAATTCCTTGGAGCTAACTAAGGCTGTGCTGCTAGTGTCCGGACGGAGAATCTATAATAATAGTACATTACGATACAAAGGATTTAAGTATTGGATTATTGAACTTTGAACATAGGCTAATAATCGGTTCCTTAAGTTCTATGTATACATGGAACTTAAGGAACATGATACATTATTTTATAGTACAAATAATTTCACTTTTTTAATTGAAAATTTGTAGAATACTAAATGATTATAAATACAAAAATCGTGTCAGAGCAAGTAAGGCAGCAGTGATCTCTCTTTCTTATTCTTTCTCACTAACCAGGACATTACGTAGCATCAGTTCCAACTCCATCTACATCATCTACCAAAAAATGTTCATTTGCTCAATTTCAAGAAAAACATATTTGCAATTAATCAAACACAAATGTTATTTCTGAGAACTCTAGATCTAAAATAATCATGTCCGAATGAAGAAGTTTTGTTAGTAAATACAGAGAATCAGAAAGTTTCAGTACAAAAATTACAACATCAATCTAAAGTTTTAAAGATTTAATTAAACGGGGACCAAAGGCGCAACGAGACTCGATTTACAGAAGTTTTGTATGATCCAGATGTCAGCTTATATGTACATAAATGATTTATGAAACCTGAATTTACAACGGTTTTATTTTTAGCAAATGTAATGTGACGGTAAATGGTAGTAATAGTAATTGTGTTTTTAATAATTGTACTTTAAAAATACATTTCAAGCTAAAAATGTACAAGAAATTTAAATGACTTTGTCAGGTGTTTATTATTTTTCTTTAAAGTATTCTAATAGATATTACTAATTAACGTTCTATTGTTCTGTATTTATTATTATGTATAATTTTTTAAAAATTATAAACTATTATAAATTTTATGGGTGACTTAAGTAAATCACATCATACAATAACCGGCTAGTTAATTTCCGTATGAGCGTGACTTAAACGCGGTTTTAATTGGGTTTTAAGTCACTGTATACTATAAATTATAAAAGTTGTTATTGTTCATAATAATTAAAGTATTATTATTTATTATGATTCTGTGTTAACTTAGGGTATAACCACATCACGGGAAAATCTTTCATAAACGTAATAAAGTAATAGTTAGAAGCATAGAGCCATACATTTATAGTTTATAAGATGTTTCTGTTATGAAATATCATATAGGTATAATAAAATATGTAAGAGTATGATGCGTACGTTTGAGAAACCCAAAGTAGAGTTACCTAGTTCAGTAAGAAACACTAAAGCCTACTAGAGCCATCTAGTGACACTTTTTAAAATTATAACGCCGCCTACCACTTATCGATTGGATTATTTAATATTGCATTGGTTTGCCAATAGAGATATTATACGTATGAATGAAATTTCAAGCTATTTCACCAGATGTCGCTTTTAGTTTGACACCGGAAAACTGAAAACATAAGGTGGTATAAAACCCAACTGTAACAATATATAAACAGTGCACTGTGTTAGCCAATAAGAAATAATTTATTATATTATATTATTTCCCTATATTTAAGAACCATCATTAAAATTTAGGCTTTATTAACATAATCATTAGGCTAAATTAACAAAATCATGTAGTGATTGTCTAAATTAAAACTGCATGCGCCTTGCCAAATGAAGTAAAAAGTCTAAAATCAACTAAAACACCATAGAAAGGCCGCGCTGATTTAGATTTTATGATACATATAATACGGTAAATTTGAAAATAGGATCGTTCAATTCAAAACTACGCACACGTAGTTCTAAATTGGACGACCTCTACAAAAAACCGCACTTTACGCCACAAAGTTTTACTAGTTTTTCACGTGGTAGAGCCATGCTGCAGCTATATTATTGGTATAGTTGCAGCACGAATGGGTCGGCTCGATCGCGGAAGGACCACGCACTCACAGAATACTAGAGAACCGGAGACCCTTTTTACTGGAAACGAGGCACTCCATCTTAGTCCTCATGGGTGACAACGCATCTGCATTTTGATTCGTAATCAAGGATAGATGTAGATGTCTATGGGCGACAGCAAGCACTTACCATCAGGTGGACTGTGTGCTCGTTTGTCACACATATCCTATAAAAAAAACCTTTAGGTTGCAGAGAAGATAATATAATAGGTGCAAAGTGCATATGGACTACGGACGGGTAGTTTAACATTATATCTTTACAATTTTTTACGTAAGCAGATTTTGGATACAATCTTAAAATACCTTTTCGCCTCCTTCTCTTCTTTGATCGCTTGATGTTTTTTTTCTTAGTCGTAATCGCAGGCTTGTCATGGTAGTTAGCGTTTTTCGCCAGATCATAAATTTTAGATAACACACACAGCACTAATCCAATCATTTTAAACGTCTGATGCAGACTTGGTCTTATTTTATCAGTTAAGCACTTTGGTTTAACACAATCACTCAAGTTTTTTTCTTCTCTTCTTAATCTTTATTTTTAATGGTTGTTGTTTTATTATTTGCTGATCACTGTACCGTAGCACTGTTATTTTAAATATTTTATTTACGTAACACTTTGGTTTCAGCATAACCTTCGTTGTTTCACTTGGTACTGCACTATTTGTTAGTGTTTTATAACAAAGATTTTCGATATGTTGTTATTGCCAAATGCTCTGTTTATCTTTAGGTTATCGTTAATAAACTGAAGTCGTCTGTGAAGCGACCTAATAATAGCGTAGGTGAATCTTGAATAACGTTGCGCTCCGGGGGCCTTGACGTGATTTCTTAATAAGGCTAAAAATATATGCCACACTTTGTAAAGCATTTTTATGATGCCAATGTCAACCTCATGTCAACAACGGGACACATATATGTATATCGAACGTGAAATTGCACCTTGTATTACTAGTTATAAAGTCTTGTTTTATGAAGCATAGTTTATCACTTGATGATGTGTCGGGAGTATTGACTTCACTGTACCGGAGTTGTGACTCTATTAAAGGGCTAATGGAAAATGATATACGTAGCGGGCTCAGGAAGCTCAGCTACCTGATGCATAGCGGTAACTTGTATATGGTTTGAAAAGTTGTATTACGTGCCTTTTGTTTTTATGCACTATGAATAGTGAATAGTGAATACTTAATATTTACGTTATGTGACGTGACGTAGTAGAGCGATTCTTAATACAAAAGTTCGATTGCGTTTTAATTTTTAATTCATATTGTTAATAACAAAAAAAAATTAATAATAATAAACAAAAATTAATACTTCTGCGTATTTATACATCAAATTATTAACATCAAATAAAAAAGGCCACAACTGCATTGTCATCCCTCAGAACCACTCGAGAACCTTAAGGTTGTTGATTTTTGACTTATATAGCCTGTCCATTACCACTTCACCCTACTTAGTCATTTTAATATATCAGTAGAACCACTGGGTTATGCCATTCTCTCTTTATCTGTGATTATCCTCATTATAGGTCTTATCAAGCAGATAAACTCTGAACACTTAGAGATTCCTCACACGGCCAGCAGTAAATAACCACATTACGGTTCCGTAAGTCATCACTGGCAACAGGTACTGGTTTTATGTGTTTAAGGTCGCTATTAGTCAAACATGACCCAGCCAAGTCAAATTCGTCGGCTAATCTCTTAATCGAAGTTGGACTTAATTAATAGGACATTTTGTCCAAGGCGCACGTTCTCGTCAATTGCTACGAGCGTAATGTTTCCAATAGCTACCGTGTGACTTAATTTTTGCCTTGTGCATATTCATCTTCAGATCTATATGTTGGTAGATACTATTGAAGTCGTTTGACATTGTGCTAAAGTCCTTCAGGGATTCTGTCATAATGACTATATGGTCCGCAAATGAAATGTGAGTGATGTATCCTTTCTAGACCAGTAGCTTGATAACGTCTTTCAATGCATCGGTGATGAGTTTCGGGGATATAATGTCTCTCTGTCTTACAGATGCCGGGTGGATACTTTCACGGAATGCTGGTGTGAACTATTTGTATAATAATGCTGCGTTTTGATTAGAAAGTATTAAAAATCATAATTAAGTAAAGCAACACACCAGTATGTAGAGCATGTCATGGAAAATAGTTTTAGGTGTCTACACTGAAGTATAATATATAAGTACTATGATTACACAAGAGCCGTGAGCCTATTTGTCAATTTACTTACGTAAACATTTCATTTTTCCAGTGACGAAATTTTTTTGACTAAAATATTAATTTATAAAAAGTATTAAATGTTTTTTTTAATAAATAATAAAAATATTTGCTTATTTTAGTATACCAATATTTTTACGTCTTTAGTTTAGAAATAGTTCGAAATATAAACTTCTTTTATTTAAATAAATAATAATTAACTGTTGATTTAAGAAGTATATTATTACGATGTAAGTGAAACATTACGTATTGGTTTGTTAAGATATCCAACTACGTCGCATTTAACAAAAATAGATATCAAACTTTCCGCGAAAGTATGTAAGAGCTCTACAAGCGGTAGAGGCTCTTACGTAGTTACTCTACGTAGAGTTATTTTTGCCATGCAAACTAAACATTCTAGATGGAAATAATGAGTATTTTTTTAACCAAAGTACACGTAGATTTAGAGTAGATAAAGATTGTTTGTGTAGTATGATGACTCATAAAATAATCCATCACGCCACTCTTTCGAGTGGATGTCGCACATGGTAAATAGAAAATGCCAGAAAGATCTTATGGCTCCCGATAGATGAATAATCGTCTCGCATCCTTTTTCATCTACCCATCTATCGGACGGGCTCATTTTCTTTTTAGGTAGTACACTGTGCTCGTTCGTGTTCGTGTTCGTGTTCGTATCTGTGTTTTGGTTTAAATGGTGATAGAGCCAGCGTAATTACAGACTGTAAGGCAACGCATCTATAGATCATATTATGTTTACTTACTAATAAGTAAAATGTTAGCTCGTTATTGATAATAAAAAGTATACGACATACGTAAAAATTTAAGACTACTGAGATGACGAGGTGTCAGGAAACATAGTCAAAGTTGTGATATGTTTGGTACCGCAGACCTCAAATCAGGTGTGGTGATTATGGCAAATCTTTCCTGCAATATATAGCATAATATATGGTCCATGGTTCATGTTCAACAATGATGATTACGAATTTGAGATGATGACATTTTCAAAGAATATAAATTATTACTATTACGATAATATACTAGCTGTGGATTACCATTGTTTTATCGTCATTATGCTCATATTAATGAATTAATCTAATCTTTAATCTATGATATTACGAGTAGTAAGTAATTAATTCGCGTTTTGTTTTAATTTACTAAGATGCCCAATATAAATCAATAGATGTAGTACCTACTATTAAAAAGCAGACAGAAAAGTATATTTCATATATAACTTTCTAAGTAAAGTCTTGCATATTTCTCCATTATTTCACTATCACTACCAAATAACATCATGCATCGAAAATGGTAGCCCCATAATTCGGTAGTTAGTTTACCTGGTCTAAAAACTTCATTATTCTTCCATCCATACAAACAAAGAATTCCGTAAGGATAATATAGCCTTAAAATTTGTCAAAAAATAAATATGCAATATGAATCAAATTTTTTTTCATGAGACTGTCATATTATGTACAACTTATCCATTTTAAATATCTCTTTCCAACTGCCCTTTTATAACAAATTAGCGATCCGCCCCGGCTTCGCACGGTTAATTTCTGGATCTCGACAACGACGCCTACTACTCACAACTCTAAAAATTCGTAAAACCATACCGTTTCACTCTACCGTTGAAAATAGAAGAAGAAAAAAAGATGTAACTAAAACTATCCGCACTAAAACAGTGTTTGCCAAACGTTAATATACTGCGAATTCTGTTTACCTTTACAACAGCATTAACTGTTTATTGCACATTCATAACACAACTCACGGCGATTTCAAAAAATATGTCATCACCTGGTGAAAAACACAGAATTACGACGACCTAGAGGCACTCTTACACCGTTCTTCATAAATTCTAAATTAATTAATCAGCACACACACACACACACACACGCACACGTATACACACAGATATGTAGATGTCTATTGGCTACAGTATTTACTTACCATCAGGTGGACTGGTGTGCCCGTTTGTCACCCTAATTTTATTTAAAAAATATAACCAGTGTAATAGCAATAAACTGCAGTCAATTTAAGATGTCTAATATTATTATAATGTGGCTGACACACATAATCGTGGAATACAGTATGAAAAAGGTGTAAAGATAATAAAACCGGAACGTCTCAGCTAGCTGTTCACTCCTCGTACCAAGAGGGTAGAGCTGTTTATTACATTTCACGGAATGTTAGATATCTATTTTTAGCTTAAGTTATGTACTCATAAAATATGAGATAACTCATCTTTTCTTTATGAAGAATAAATATTTGTAGGTAGGTGAAAAATCACTTAACGGAAGACTTCAACGTAAAGTCGGAAGCACACGACGTACGCGTGATGAGCGCGTACATCGCGGCACTAATTACTAATTTACCGAATTTATTAACTGTATCGAAGACATCACATTCTCTGCGTTCCGTTTACTACTGTAGTGAATGCTTCCAGGTTCACGGGCTGCACACATTACGTGCACACATTTGATGTATTCCGCCCAAAAGAACCATCGACCACATCTTTGAAGCTTTATATTTTATTTACGTTCACTGTTGAATCGTCAAAAATAAAAACCTACCACAAAATATATTTCTCTAGACTAGACCAGATATCAAATCACAAATTATATATAGATCTATCCAAAAAACTGTAGTTAAATATTTGTAGTAAATCCTTATTCGTACTACTGGCTAAATTTATTAGGCTTGTTGAAAGGTTTGAACGTAGGCACATGCGGATGTCACGTCTTACAACTGAATAATATAATACTGGAAGAAAACGACGAGTAGCCAAGGTTTCACTACCATTTAAAGAGTTGTTTTAGAACCTGTTTACGATATATAATTAACAGTATTATTGCTGTTTTATAGGCCGCATAGAAATGTGCAATTTAATGACTTCCGAAAGAATCCGTATTACTTGCAATCTCTACATAGTATAAAACAAAGTCGCTTCATTAAACTACGCCACGGATTTTGATGTGTATCTATATACAGAATGAGTCAAGAGGAAGGTTTATATGTACAATACATGCATGTTATATATTATATAATTCTTCTTTCCGTGTGTAGGTGACTGAACTCCTCCTAAACGGCTAGACCGATTTTGATGAAATTTCGTGTGTGTGATTACGTTGATTAGAGAAAAGTTAAAATGCACAATTGGAACCGGAAGGTGGCGTTGTTGTCGAGATTCTAAAATCAACTGTGTGAAGTCGGGGCGGATCGCTAGT